TTTATTGATTATATCTATTTTATTAATATTAACAATTAATTAAGGTTTTTAGTTGAGATAGGAAGTTGGTGTCCGAGTGGATCGAGGTCATGATAGCTCAAGTGGTAGAGCAGCGGCGTATCTAGCCGAAGATCGTGGGTTCGAATCCCGCTCGTGCCATTGACTTTTTTATCTCAACTAAAAACCTTAATTAATTGTAATATATTAATTGGTCAAGTGGACCAGGAAATTAGTGAATTTAAATCTTTTATTAATATTTAAGCGCGGAATATTTTATAGGAATTTTAACATCTAAATATTAATAAACCACGGCGAGCCAACTAATCGGTTGTTGTTATTACAGCTAATATCAATTATCATGTTTATTATACATTAAAATTAATCGTATACACAATGACTATTAAAATATTGAGAGATCAATAAACTTAATGGTAACTTTAAAAATAAAATATTAAGTTTTACATATAAAACAGGCTTAAACAGTAAAGGGGAAAATTGCAATAGGCGTCGTTGTAATCACATTCACTTATCGTATTAAATATTTATGATATGAAATAACATGTGTAATAATCAAAATAAATTAGTCGAATTTAATAATATTTTACCAAGACTATTCTATAATGCGGAATAACCAAATTTGTTCAATAAATTCTAGAGATGCCTATTGGTTTTATTTGTAAGCCCATTGCTTATTTCTTATCAGTTGATTCATCCCTACCCATAATTCATCCTATAATTTCATTTTTATATTACAAATAAAGAACACATTTTTATCAACTTTGGTATAAAAAAAACTGGTTTTATATCTGCATTTCTAATTTGTAAAAATTTGCAACAATATAGTTTTCATTGTATGCAATACTTCCAAATTTAGAATTACCCTTAATAAATTGGAAAGTTTATTATTATTACAGCCCGGATTGATAAACACTAATAAACCTCAAATGTGCAATACTATGAGCACTAAAAACTCAAATATGCAATATTATGAGAACTAAACCCGCAAATATGCTTTATTATGTGCACTAGAAAACACTCAAATATGCATTATTATGAGCACTAAAAACTGAAATATGCAATATTATGTGAACTAAAAAACCCTCAAATATCCATTATTATGTGCACTAAAACACACTCAAATGTGCAATACTATGAGCACTAAAAACTCAAATATGCAATATTATGAGAACTAAACGCGCAAATATGCTTTATTATGTGCACTAAAAAACACTCAAATGTGCATTATTATGAGCACTAAAAACTCAAATATGCAATATTAGGTGAACTAAAAAACCCTCAAATATCCATTATTATGAGCACTAAAAACTCAAATATGCAATATTATGTGCACTAAAAAAATCTCCTCAAATATGCAATATTATACACACTAAATTCACTAATTTCGTGGTCCGCTTGAGCAATTAATATATTACAATTAATTAGTGGATTTAACCACGAATTTAGTGAATTTAATGAATTAAAATGAAGTAAACTTCACTAAAGCTCTCCTTGGCCATTTCATTTGTGGCCGAGAATCCAATCCGATTACACGACATTTGAAAAATGGCAAAAAGGAGGGACAATTCAAAAGTAGGGTTAAGATGGGAAGTTAATGTCAGAGTGAATCGAGGTCACGATAGTGCAAGTGGTAGAGCAGCGGCGTATCTAGCCGAAGATCGTGGGTTCGAATCCCGCTCGTGCCATTGACTTTTTTTATCTCAACTAAAAACATTAATTAATTGTAATTATATACACTAAATAACCTCAAAGTTTTAATGTTATTTGCACTAAAAATGCATGAAATATTCAATGCTGTAGGCACTCAAATACCTCTTTTATATGCAAACCCTTAAATATGTCATACATTTTGCTATAAAGTCTAAACCTATCAAAATACGGAGTATGAATGTCAGAGACATCACCCGACTAATAATTAACTATTTTTCTAATCTGAACTTTTCGGTCTACTACATGTTGGTACATACAAAATGTAATATGGTAGTAAATAATCGTGAGCCTCAAATAAGATGGCGTTTATTTCAAAACAATTCTATTAAAAGTTATCCGAAATCCGAATAAAATTATATTTCATTGTTATTCAGAAATCGTGAGATGCGGTCTGGTGTGATGTAGGTTTCAGAAAAACATTTTCTTTATCGTGCCAACGTTTCAATCTTTATTGAGATCATCTTCAGGGCTCACAAGACCGCATCTCACGATTTCTGAATAATTATCGATTAACGGTCACTAATCACCACATATTTCATTGTCTTTTTCTCCCATATTCTTAGTTGACAAGTTTATTTATTTTTTTCTAAATGACCTAGAAAGTTTCAAATTTCCCATATTCCTCAAATATACAAATTTATGAAGAATGAAATTTGAACTACCATATCACGGAGGTATAATTCCAACAAATAAAAGGTCATAAGTGTTAACACAAAATACAAATCCGTGCTCTAATTATGATTTAAAACAAAATAAACCCAATTATTTCAATAATTCTTCTAAAATTTGACTCTTGGCATTTTGTTACATATGTCAAAGATTAGTAATTTAGTTCAACTAATACCCACGCCTGGGCATTGAATGTAAATTGCTTCGTAATTGCCAATATCCTTTATAATATTTAATCAATTATATACATAATATTTATCACCGTAAACAAAATAGACACAAATTATTAATAATTCGTCCCAGTATTTCTTTCGAAGAGCACTTTTCAGCTTTCTCAAATTTATTGGAATTTATAATGAGATTTAGGCCTTTTCCTGAATTGTTGTATCATTGAATGCCTGCTAATGTTTGAATAAAAGTTGTGCGTGCAAGATTTCTTCTTTCAGAGGTTTTTGAGGCTGCCGGAGCGGAAAAATGAAATGGAAGAAAATACAAATTGCGGGGGAATAAACTGCAATGCCCAAAATCGCAATTTAAATAAGAAAAATAGCTCCCTCCAAAACAAAAAAAAAGAAGATAAAGATAAAGAAATGTTATTGTGTTTTGTTTCTTATTATTGTTATGTAGAATTAGTTTATGTATCATATTTGAATGGAAGAATAAAAGGATAAGGATGAGCCAATACTCATGCTGAGACTGTTGCTAGTCTGACTCCATTATTATTATTATTATTAGCCATACAAGCCTACGGGGAATTTTTAAATTATGGAACAAAATTCACAATTCTAATTAAAAAAAGAAACAGAAATAAATTTTATAAATTTATTAAATTTTATGCAATTTAAAATGGGAATTTTGTATGCATTTGGCCTTCCGAATTAAGAATTTTAAAAAGAAAAATTAAAGCTTGGATGGCAATAGGATAAATAAGATTACGAGTGAATGTTTGGAGTCAGAGCTTTATAGCACTCAGAAGAGATATAGCTAACCTAAGATAGAAGGTTTGGATGTTAGGGCGTGAAATGACCTTAGCCGTTAAAACGCCCTTAAAAATTAATAATAATAATAATAATAATAATTCGTGTAATTGCAACAAGCAAGGTTAGACATAATATGTACTTATTAAATATTTATGAAATGACATAACAGGCATAGTCGACCATAAAAATTAACTTAATATAATTTTAACTATGCTTTTGTATAATATATAATTTAAAGTTTTTTTCTTGAATAAATTCTAGCGTTAGCTCATTGATTACACTATTAAAGTAACTACCATTGATCTTAAATTGATTCATGCCATACACTGTTAATTTTTATTGGAATTAATTTTACTATATTATTAATCAATAAACATTTAATTTAAATTCATCTTAGTCATCCTTTCTCATTTTTAAAACGGGTGGCGGCGGTGTCCACAACGGTTGACACGGTGACTCATGACTGCTAGGTAAAGGTCCCGGGTTCGAATGAAGCGGCCCGAATTCCAATTAACGTTGGAAGAACATTCTTATAAATGGACTTTTTTTCCCGTTTTGATAAAAAAAAAAATGCAGTTCTCATTGGATATAATAACCAACGTTTAGAATTATCCAGAACATTATCTACTGGAATAAATGGAAATTATATTATCACGATAGAAACAACGTAGTCTAATAATATATAATTGATTGATTGATGAATCATAATTCCCAACAAATATCCACTTTACCATGTTTATCCATTTCGTGGTCTGATCAAGGGTATGTCTGTAAGTGATTTTTGTGGTGTCGCAACAAACTAATTTACCCCTTTTTTTCTGTCACATCTGGAATGAAAGAAATGTTCAATTGGGTCCTAATGGCCCAATTTCCTTAACCACAGTTAAACCTTTTTTTCAATTAAAATAATGGCATGCAGGTAGTGTACAGTAAAGAATACAGGTAGACACAAGTTGCATGAGTAAAACGAATAAATCATTCTTAATAAAAATAAATAAATATATGATGATTATCGGGTTGAGATCTCGAAGACGACTAAATTTCTTTTTTAAATTGCCTGTTCAAATTTTCAGCCCATGTTTAGACTTTACCAGAACACTTTTTTATTTAAACTGAAAATGTACTGTAAGTAGTTCTGTTCAAAATTTTAAAAAAGAATTTTGTGTCCTTCTTGAAAGCCTAAACACCAATAAACCTCATTAATGATTATTAAGAAATCGTGAGATGTGGTCTGGTGTGATGTAGGTTTCAGAAAAACATTTTCTTTATCGTGCCAACGTTTTGATTTTTATTGAGCCTTGAAGATGATCTCAATAAAGATCGAAACGTTGGCACGATAAAGAAAATGTTTTTCTGAAACCTACATCACACCAGACCGCATCTCACGATTTTTGAATAATCATCAACTAACGGTCACTAATCAACGCACAAACTTCATTAAGTCTCTTCTAAGATTGATATATTCAACTTCACAAGGATATTGGTTATGTTTTATTTATCCTAACTTGCGGGAAATAGTTTTCACTTGTCATTTTTGTTTAGAAATATAACCTAGGATACAAATAAAATTTCCTGGCATGGTTTGCTGTTTCTACTACTCTTTTGTATTGATTTTTTTTTCAGGCCGAAGGAGGCTCAATAGTTTAAAAGGGAAAAACAACATAACAACACCAGAGGAGTGGAATCCCGGTAGGAACGGTCGGACAAAGAGTTCCTTGATTTTTACACCCCCTTCAAATGTCCTGATTTACAACCGTTGACATGTTTCGCCACATCTTTTCCCCCCAAAACAACCAGGGATTTCGAGAGTTGTTGAACCCGGAGAACCGTTAAAGAGACAATAAATAAAACCTTAACAGGTTCCCGGTACCCAAAAATGAAATACGGCTCCCGTCTTCTTCCTTCGCGTTTTACCAAATCTTGGAATCGCTGAAAATGCAATAAGCCTGGATTCAAATTTCCCACGATGTTCGCTATTGCTGCAGAAAACAGATGCTCGAACATCTGAAGAATCCTTTGGATTCCGTACTCTGTCCGTACTACTTTACTACTTCAAGTCCTTTAACTTACTTATTCTGAAAACATGAGTTTATGGATTTGATTTAAAAGAAAATTTAATAAACCTTACTTTCTCACAGAAAGTTACAGGATATTTCTTATTATTACCGAAAACTGCCTCCATCATCAGAAAGATTTCATTGAAGTTCTTACTCGTTCCTGATAGTTTAGTACTTCCGTTTCTTTAATTTGCGCATTCTGGATACATCAACTGCTTATAAACAAAATCAAAAGAGCCTGGACTCAAATTTTATAAAATAGGCTCAATTATCAGATTTCGTTGAAGTCCGAGGTCAACTCGTTCCGTACTAGTTTAGTATTTGAATTTCTTTAATTTATTTATTCTGGATATATGGATTTATTTTAAAAACCAAATCCAGTAAAGCTTGATTCAAATTTCCAAAATTCAAACACATAGTTTTTTTTATCAAGCATCTGAAGATTTCGTTAAGTCCTCGTTGCGAACTACTTTGATACTTAAATCCATTTAATTCAGCAATCATTTTGTAAACAACAGAAATTATTTTGAAAACAGATATTGTAAAAGGTTTGCACTTTCATTTTGTGCCTTTTCGAGGTATTCAATTGCGTTTATTCAGTCTAGCGTTGTAACAAAAAGAACGAACAGTCATAATAAATATTCTGCTAATAGCAGAGCTATTACTAATTTAATTTAATTTTTTTTCGCGGTTCTTTATAAGAAGGGAAGATACGGCAGTGAGATCATCAAAATTTACCGTTTGACTCACCTAACCTAGCTGTTTGTGCTAGAATAAGATAACCATCGGCTCGAAACCTTCTTCAGAGGAAGCCCCGATAAAAGAGAGCCTCCAGCGAGAAAAAACGGACCTGAGATGATAATTTGCTATCATGCCGCAGTTAATCCGTCGATCCGGAGTATATGAAATTTACAAATTGAACAAAAATTGTAATGACAATAATGGAGATGATAGACATCGATTATTAAATTCAGTAGTTGGTCCGCTTGACCAATTAAGATCTTTCAATTAATTAAGGATTTTACTTGAGATGAAAAAGCCAGTGTCACGAGCGGGATTCGAACCCACGACCTTCGGTCAATACGCCGCTGGTCTAACCACTTGAGCTATCGTGACTTCGATCCACTCGTACACTAACTGCTCGTCTCAACCGACAACCTTTCAAATTTTCTGCTTTTTGCAATTTTTAAAAAATTTCAGGGGTTCGAATATCGCTCGTAACCTAACTTTTTCATCTCAACCAAGAGGTTAGATAAAAAGAATAATTAATTTAAATAATTAATATGGTCAATAATGACCGCTAAACATATATGGATTAAATTATATTTATGTTGCAAAGTATGTTTGTTGGTTTTTGACATAGAAGAAAATTCTCTAGATTAGGCTTCATTCATTTAAACCATTTTTTAAGTTAAGAATTCGAGAAGTGAGGGAATAAAATAATTAAATTAATAAAATTAAGAAGATAAAAGTCATGGCAATTACGAAAACCTATCTCGTGTTGGCTTAGCCGCTTCCATTAATATTCATACGCGGACATTAGTTTAGACTGGGAAAATTTACATTTTAATGCTCCCTCTTTGCGCCGGCATTTGGCCGAATATTTTTTCAAAACTTGGAACATCTGTGCAGAATCCCAAGCCCCCAAGCCCCGAGCGATAACTGCTGCCCCGAAGTCCCTCGGCTTAATTTTCCCTTCTGCTGTAGTGAATTTGTTATTTAATTGAAAATTGTCAATGCTCTTTCACTATATTTATGGGATATAAATGTTCAATGACATACGAACCCTTTTCCATGAACGTTTTACATCGACTCTATATTTTTATTACAATTAATTAAGGTTTTTAGTTGAGATAAAAAAGTCAATGGCACGAGCGGGATTCGAACCCACGATCTTCGGCTAGATACGCCGCTTCTCTACCACTTGAGCTATCGTGACCTCGATCCACTCGGACACTAACTTCCCATCTCAACCCCACCTTTTGAATTGTCCCTCCTTTTTGCCATTTTTCACCTTAATAAAACCTTAATTAATTGTAATATATTAATTGGTCAAGCGGACCACGAAATTAGTGAATCTATATTTTATTTTTATTTTTTAACATGGAAACTCTTTGGGTTAATTGAGTCTAAATACTGACATTGTATAGCCACAAACGACGAAGCAATTAAGTTCCTTTTCTATTTAAAACGATAAAAAACGATTCTTTCATACGTTTGAAAGTATAAAAATTACGCACTAACAATAAATAAGGACTTTCTTGTGCTTGGATTGGATGTTTCGTTGATCAGTATGTGTTTAAATATTTTAACAAAACCTTAATAGCTTAGCACAATTTTTAAAATTTTAAATATAATTTTCAGCGGTATCCTGTACATTCCACAAATATAACGTTTCAAGCACTAAAATTGTAGTTTTGTTGACCAAATCTTTATAGCATCTTGTCTATGGCGACAGTGCATCTTTCTTTTATTGGGCGATCAATTACGTCAAAAATGTTAAAATTCAAAAACGTTACGTTTTTGAACTTTTCGGACTCTGATCTACAAGTTTACAATTCAGACATTTTTTGGAAACTTGGTAAGATGCGCTAGGGTTGAAAACTGTGTTTGTGAATGTTATCATTAAGAAGAATAGAATTTTAGGACTAGGAAGTCGGTTTAATATGAAAAATTCTAATTAAAAAATGAGAGGGTCAGTTTGTGTATGAGACACGGAAATGATATGAAACTATAAAAACTATATTATCTTATGTTTATAATATTGTTAATGTTATTCTATTGGTTGTTATTGAAACTTATTTTTTATCTTGTCCCACTCTATTCCACAGATGGAGACAACCAAAAACATCATAGGAAGTACTCTTCATTTTTTAAAACACGTATCTATTTTCGGGGTGCTACCCGCTCCTCCTCTTCAGCTGTTATGACTTAAAAGTACAAAAAACCATCAAATATTAAAAAATGTTAACAGTTAATATAAGTAACTCACATACAATTTTATGAATCACTGAAATTACAATTTTCACGTTATACCATGATATTTCAAATGTTCTTTCTCATGACATTATGCGTCGTCAACAAGTAAACCAATACATTTTTTTAANATGTATATATATATTTGTTAATATTTAGTGACCGTTAATTAATGATTTAAGATCGTGAGATGTCGTGTGGTGTGGTGTAGGTTAGAAAAACTTTTTTTTTAATCTTGCCAACGTTTCCACCTATATTGAGAACATCTTCAGGGATTGGAGTTTATAAACATTGTTTCAATTATACAAATAAGTATAAGATATTAATACGAATTTATACCATGTTGTACAAATATAGAACTTTTAAGTTTAATCGAAGTATTTGAACTCACTCAAAGTGTGTTTTCTATGTAGTTGTTGTGTGTCGTCTTGAATGTGTTAGTAAGATTTTAAAGTTTTTTTTGATATGTGATTGATTTTGAGAGAGTGGGGAAGTAGGTAGGCCTAGAAATTCATTTTTCTATGAGGAATCGGCTACATTGAGGTGAACTGTAGAGAAATGAATGTGGATAGATGGACCTCGTATGATCTAACCCTAGAAAAAGACTCATCCTCACCGAATTAACGATAGGCCCTACAAGCTTGACCCACGACTTACTTTTATACCAAAGCTCGAGTATGTATCTGGCAAGAAGAGAAAAGTTGCTCGATTTGACCCACCTAATCAAGGTACCTCCTTGGCTCCGTTTAGGGAGCGCTGATGAATGCAACCCTATATTAGAATTGTTCTCGAGCACTGCAGCAAGTATCGGAACCCTTGCTATCATTTTTCATGGAAACAGGGTTGTTTTATTTTATATGGTGCTGAAATTTTTGTTTGGTTTAGTGTGTCTGTTGAGTATTTATTAGCTGAATTTATTTATTAGCGTGAATGTGTGTTGTGACGATGACGGAATTACCCATTAACCCTTAATTAGATTAGTTATATAATAGATGAATTAGGTGAACTAATTCTTCTACTAATCCACCTCCATAACTGAATGAATGGTATGTACTTAAAAAAGAATGATTTAAAGGAGAGTGAAACAGTGAATGGGCTTGGATTTAGGAAGTGATTGGTTAGGGGCTGGATTGACCTAGCTGTTGATGGTCCCCTGGATAAGACAAGGTCTGAAGAACTGCGTACACCCAGGTTGGGTGATTCTCGAGGCCTACCCGTCATTTATTTAAATTATAAATGCTGGAATTTCCGGTAGACTGACAGAAGTGATAAGCTCAACTCTGTATAAGTGTTTGTGTATGTATTTCTACTAAAATCGTATTTGTCAATGTAACACAACATTGTAGCACATGTTTAAACGGTTTAAATCGTAAATTAATATTTATTTTATAACGGTTGTAATTTCGTTATGTTTGTAATATGTCATATTTTATGACCATGGTGATTGTAAAATCATCTGCGTCAAATAAGTTTCAACAGTAATATTTTCTGTTTTTTCAGTAATATCAATAAAAGGCCTTCAACTTTTCCTGTTTGTCCGATTTGTTTTCTCGATAAAAACGAGTTTTCAGGGTGAAAAACGCGTTCCAGTGACTAAAATTCATACGGATTTCAAATTTTAAGTTGTTCTAGTAATGAACCCCGAGTTTTTCAACT